CTTAACCAACTGAGCCACCCAGGCGCCCCACAATTTTATAAAGCTTTATAAAATTGTTTTTCCTATGTTTTTTTTTTTCCTATCAAGCTCCCAACCATTCAACGGTTCAGTTAATTCAGTCCAAAAAAAAAAGATCAATACCCATATTGCGGTACTACATGGCTATCACAGCAATTTTCACCTTTAAGTCACTTCCAGACACAACGTTTCTTAACAGTTTACCTACCTCTCCAAAATTTTAGAGCATTTTATCCAGAAGTGGTTTCCTTTTATTGTTATGTATAAAAAGTATACATATTTATAAAATAACCTGGGTGCAGCCTCGGCAAAAACCATCACTGGTAATGGAAAAGGAAACCAAAGTTTATTGAGGTCCCATGTGCCAGGTACCATCCTCGATGCATAACTAGGGTTTCAGCCTCCTGGCAATCCGGTGAGGCAGGCACCCACACCCTCACTATACAGGTGTGGACACTAAGTTCACTGGAGTTAGGAAATTTGCCCAAGCAAGGGGACAGCTCCAATTTAAACCTAGGTTCCCTAACTCCACAATTTATACTAGGTCACTTTTTTACTTGTATGTGGGAAGACTCTGGCTTTGGGTAGCAGAGTGCCCTTCCCATGTGAGTTTTGACACTCTGAAAAATATTGAGCTTTGATCATTGCTCCTAACATCTAAAACTCCTGTGCCAAATTCCTTACCTCCTCTGACTCCGGCAAAAGCTTAAGAAATTCTCGCAAGGTCTCTGATCCGTAATGTTCACTCTTTCCTTGATGAATATCTTCGACAATGGACTGAGGAGACCTTGAAAAGACAATTAATTAGATTCCACTTTACGTTTGTTGGAGTGCCAAAGAAACACAAGTCAGTGGAAACTAAAACAAATCACCTCTACCCTTTTTCCAACCCACCTTCTTCCCAGTCTGGGGGATGTGCTTTGTCAGTGATCACAGGAGCCCCAGTGCCAGGGAAAGTGGGGATCCTGACACACCACCCAGAGGCCCGTTCACCCAGAAGCCCATCCTTGGGCATCCCAGAAAAGCTGAAAGTGGCAGCAACCATGGGAGTCTTCTCTGGGAGAAGAAAAGCAATCCCCTTTGGTCACACGGAACTCTGGAGAGCCTCTCCTTTCCACTTTAGAATACTGGCATTTCACCACTGTCTTCTGACCAGTCCACCCTCCACTGAGGGGCAACATTACAGATGAATTTATAAATTCCCTGGCATGACAGGCTTGAGCAGACACTCTGAGGCAACCCTGCCTGTACTTCAAGCCTTCACGCAGGGTATGCTTTCACACAGGAAAACAGCAGAGAGCGACAGGCGCTTGCACACTCATCACGTCGTGTGCCGGAGGAGGATAGGTAGGGATGAGGAATGGCTTTTGCTCATATTAGGAGCTGAATTTTCAGCTCAGCCACACCCACAGACTGACGCTGACAGCGTGGATATGCCTAAAGTTGCAAATGCGTGCAAAAACCTTACTTCTTAAATTGCTTAAGAAATATCCCAATGTTCATGCTCCGTTTTGCGTCCAAGACAGTAATCTGGAAAAAAACAGACACACATAAGGCTATTACAAATTAGAAGACTTGGAGGGAAGAAGAGAATTAAAACCTATCAAAATACAACACTAATTTACAAGAGAATAACTTCCAGTATGTAAATCTGGTTATTAATCGATATACCTAACACAGTTTTGCAAATATTAAAATATTATCATCTCCCCAAACTTCCTGCAATGATCTATTTACTTAACTATAATAACTATACATATCTATTTTAATCTTATGTAACTTTTTTTTTTTTGAGAGAGAGGGAAGGTGTGTGTGCATGAGCTGGGGGAGGGGCAGAGGGAGAGAGAGAATCCTAAGAAGGCTCCATGTTCAGGGCAGAGCCTGACTCCAGGCTCGATTTCAAGACCCTGACATCATGACCTGAGCTGAAACCAAGAGTCAGATACTTAACCAACTGAGCCACCTAGGTGCCCCTAATCTTACATAATTTTTAATGAACAACGTATATTAAAATTTTTTTAATTTAGCTATTTCGTCTTAGAATAATATAGCCTTCATTTAAAAGCCCAAATTTGAAAAACAGGTGTGTTAGCATAGCTAGATTATATGAGAGTTGAACTAAGAAAGCAAAAAAATAACTCAAGATATTGCAGAGTCCCAAGCTCTGCTTTAGGGATGCAGAAGGACCAGTACTGTTATTTTAAGAAATGTAATAAAATTAATTTTTTTCTAAAAGATAAATTTCTTTTCATTGAGAAAGAATATATGTCCTTCATATATCGTCCTTCAGGGGGAGGTAAGAAAGTTTCCTACGTTTTATTTACTTGGAATTTATTTATTTATTTATTTTTAAAGATTTTATTTATTTGACAGAGAGAGACACAGCGGGAGAGGGAACACAAGCAGGGGGAGTGGGAGAGGGAGAAGCAGGCTTCCCGCGGAGCAGGGAGCCCGATGCGGGGCTCGATCCCAGGACTCTGGGATCATGACCTGAGCTGAAGGCAGACGCTTAACGACTGAGCCACCCAGGCGCCCAATTTACCTGGAATTTAAAAAGGAAAACTCTTGTGCTGTATTTCACCAAGTCTAAGATGCATATTAACATCTCTACAATCAGGATGTATCTGACAATGCACAGCAGCTTCGATTTAATGAAATATGGTACCATTCTAATATACTGTCAAAACCCAGATTTGGGCTGCAATAGGTTTTACCTGTTCAAAATTAGTAACTGGGCAGGGTTTTATCAGACTAGAAATTAGACAGAACCTTTTTTGGACAGGGGGTGGGGAGGATGTTGTTATTAAATACAGAAGCCGGGGCGTCTGGGTGGCTCAGTCAATTAAGAGTCTGCCTTCAGCTCAGGTCATGTCCCCAGGGTTCCAGGAATGAGCCCAGCATTGGGCTCCCTGCTCAGCAGGGAGTCTGCTTTTTCCTCTACCCCTTACCCCCTTGTGCTCTCTCTCTCATTCTCACTCTCTCAAATAAATAAAATCTTAATAAATAAATAAATAAATAAATACAAACATACATACAGAAGCCATTTCTCTGGAAGGGAACATCCAAGATGCATGGAGGAAAGATCACCTTAAAACTGCCACAGGTTTTTTCTCATCTGTTTTTTGGTAAAGGGAGACTAGCTAAAACAGGAATGTTGTTATGATTCTCTTCCTTTCCAAATGTATGTGATTCATTTGTGAACAAAAGCGAATCAGGTTTCAGATTAAGTTCCTGTTCTCTAGGCCTGCTTGTAAGTTTATAAGCTGCAATAAGAACTGTTAACCAAATTTAATGGCACTTCCTGGCTATAAGGTTAAATTTTTACAAGAGTATGGCTGTCTTCTTTTGAAAGTTAATCTTAAACAATCACATTATTTACTATCCTAGAGGTCTATTTCATGTTCGTGCAATCACCTACCAGCCATAAAATAAACTCACAAGCAAACAGGGCAGGCTCCTTATTGGAATCCTACCCAGGGATGCAGTTCAAGTTCAGTGTGAACGGAGGGGAGAAGACGGGGCGAGAATAAAACCTGTCAAACCTAACACCCTTTAAAGAGGAAAGCTCATAGGAAACAGAGGAATCTAAATTTAGTACAATAGAAAACAAGTGTATAATTCATCAATTAAAAAGCCACAAGTAAGAACATGTATATCGATATAGCGATATACATATCCAAAGAACTTCCTTGGCACTCACTTCTACCCAGAATGAGGAAAAAACTTCTTTTCTATTTCTCGCATTAAATCACCACTTCTTACTCCATTTGACCCTGGATGGCAGCACCCTCTCCTGCCCCCAACTCCAAGCTCCACCCCTAACCCCCTGACACTTGGTGCCCCTGGAAAAGTGATGGAGAAATTACTCTTATTATTCCTATTTCACAGATAAGGAAACCAAGCCTCAGCGATGTCATGTTATCCGTTTCCCAAAGCAACACGGGACCTGAAATGCTAGCCTGGGTCTCTCGGGTTCCTTCTCTAGTTCCTGTGAGTTTTAATATTGCTAGGGTATAGACAAGCGGCAATGTTCTCCCACCAGCCTCGGGCTGGTATCCACTCAAGGAATGGGGGCAGATCTATAGAAAGCCACCCATAGGGCCTGGCCAAGTCCCCTAGTGATTCCAGGGCTGTCTGTGTGGGATGATGGATAGAAATCATGTTCTCACAGCTGAGACAGCCTTCAGGAGCTGCCATTATGCCCTTGACACAGGGGAGAAGCCACAGCCTGGGGTAGTGGCTGCCTCCACCGCTTGAAGCAAAGCTTCAGAAACTGGCCACCAATTTAAGACAGGGGTGCCTGGGTGGCTCAGTCGGTTAAGCGTCTGCCTTCAGCTCAGGTCATGATCCCAGGGTCCTGGGATCGAGCCCCCCCGCAGAGCCCCGCATCTGCATCAGGCTCCCTGCTCAGTGGGGAGCCTGCTTCCCCCCTTCCCTCTGACTGCCGCTCCCCCTGCTTGTTCTCGCGCTTTCTCTGACAAAAAAATAAATAAAATCTTAAAAAGAAATTTAAGAGAATTCAGCAATACCCCAAAGGAAAAACCTAGGCTGGCCATCCCCGAGCACCTTACAGGGCAAACAAAGCCCAGAGCCTCATCCAAACAGCAGGAAAACTGACAGCATTCCAGGGACAGTCCCACTCTTCTCCTGGCATCCTCAGATTTGCCTAGTGCACGAGCGGGCTCCTCCTCACAGGCTGTCACACTCTATCCTTCTAAAGCATCGTAACACTGTGTTTGTTAAAGTTTTTTAAAGCGGGTTATCGTTTCACATGCAAATTAGCTTATCTTACTCCCCAAATGCTTGTCATCTCAAAGCAGGGCAATTCAGGAACCCCTGCATGGGGGACTGGGCGGTGTTCTGGAATCATCCAGAGCAGGCTGCAAAAGCCAGCCTCAGGAACAAGGATGAACTAACCCGGCTCCCTCCCTGCCCCCCAGTTCCAATCCACAAAAATCTACTTTTCTGGGCACCGCAGGATAGGGGGGCAGGATCCCCACTGAAGTCAGGGCCTGTCACAACAGCCAGGTTACTGTAGAGCTCACAGGCTTTCCCATCAAAGGCTCACTGAAGAGTTACGCCAGCCCTGGAGAACGAGGGAATGAAATACAAGGCCATATGCTCGACTGAGGACTTCCCACTAGGATGTGAGGCGGGCGCTGCTAGAGAAACAGGGTCCCCACAGACTGCGAGGCTGGCCAGGGTCCTTCTGCCTCCCTCTGAAGCACCGAGACCGCAGCACTTGGGAGAGGCTGTGGCTGGCTCCACCACAACTCTAAGTGCTCCTCGTTTCTTCTACAATTCCTGTACATTCATCTATGAGCAATTCCCTACACAATCTGCCTCCCATATTCTTCCAAGGAAGAAACAGCTTTTGCATTTTAGTTGTGGTAAAATACACGTTAACATTTACCATCTTAACCGTTTTGTTTGTTTACAGATGTTATTTATTTATTTGACAGAGAGAGACACAGCGAGAGAGGGAACACAAGCAGGGGGAGTGGGAGAGGGAGAAGCAGGCTTCC